ATAGGTAAGGGCGGAGTGGGTGAAGGGTGCACAGCTAATGGGGAAAAAAATAAGAACCAAGATATATCATGTACAGGTACAAACACCCAATGATAAATGTAAATGAATTGTATACCTAAAATGTACCAATAAAATGTACCAATAAAATTAATTTTAAAAAAATGTTCTTTGCTAGCAGTCTACCTCATAAGTTATACAACTTGAAAAAACTAGAGACACTAAGACTCAGCAACAATCACTGAGACAGTTGCTTTCTACCTTTGGGCAGCTCTGCCCTCAAGACCTCTGTGGAAACCAACCTGTTGTACGACCACCCCAATTTTGTAGCCTACAGCACCCAGATGTGCTGCATCTCTCAAAGAACCAGATTCAGGGGATTCCTGACCCCGTGGGGAAGCTGCACATCACAAACTCAATTTAGATCAGTACCAGGTCTAGAGCTTAAGGTTTATTTGGGTTTACGGTCTCTCAAAAAGCTTCTTGTCCTCTGAGCTATAATCATAGTGCTAAGTAGCAGAGCCTAGATAAGAGATATATTCTATAAGCTGAGTAATTTCAAAGCCAAAGTGCCATGGGGTCAGTTGTGATGCTGGGTTGGTGCTCCACAGGTTTTTTTGGGGAGGATGAAAAAGGTAACCAAGTTAAGGTAACCTCAAAATTTAAGCTACTGAAAGTCCCACAAATATATTTTTTAAAATAGTAAATCTTCCCTTGACTTAAAAAAAATACAAATCAATGAGAAAAAGATAATCAGATGAAAAAACCAACATGCATATAAATGTCCAAGTGAATTCATGTTTTTTGGGGTTTTTTTGTGGTACCAGGGATCAATCTCAGGACCTTGTGCTTAGCAGGCAGGTGCGGCGCCACTGAGCTACATCCCTGGCCCTCAAGTGCACTCATCTTTACACAGAAAATACCTAACAATGAAGCCATCTTTGTATCAGACTGATAGACGCTTACAGCCAAAATTGTCAATCATATAATGAAACATGCATTCTCCAACAGTTAGTGGAATATAAACTAAAGGCATTTTTGAAGGACAGTAATACTTTTAATGCCACATGTTGAAACTTATTTATTTGCAAGAACACACTAAGACGCATGTATAAAGTTGTGCACTGCTTATAATGTCAAGAAAATGATAATTTAAAAAGCACTTCCATCTGCTTAATTAAAAAAAAATTCAAGGCCAGGGATTTAGCTCAGTGGGTCTGCCACCTGCCTAACAAGCACAAGGTCCCGAGTTCGATCCCCAGTACCAAAAGAAAAATTCAATTTCAAACTATTTCTGAAAGAAAAACAAGCTGACAAGTTGACAGGAACTACCTCTAGCTGAATGAGAAGCAGATTTTACATAGTAAAATAGTACTTGGTTTTCTTTTTTATTTCTTACCATATGCATATATGCATAACTTTATCATGAATGAGAAACTGAAGCCTACTTACAAAATTCATTTGTATATATGGGCCAGCATCTACTGTACTAACTTTGTAGCAGCAGTGACACAACAATAGTATCTCAACTGTGCCTTCAAAAGATAACCTTACCTTATCATCTCTCTTGTTCGGTACAGCTAAATGCAATCTGTTCAGCACTTCATTCACTTTATTTCCTTTCATTTTGGTTTCTACTCGATGAGCCAAAAGCCTATCACAAGCCTAGTAAGGTATAAAAACAAGGTGCAAAGTCATAAAATCATACAATAGCCCCCAACCACACATTCCAAGGAAGAACCCCCATTCACTGATAAGTTGTACTTTGGAAGTCCATGCTCTCCTCCCTTTTGCTGGGGCAGGCCTCATCCTCAGAAGAGTCGACTCTTTCTGGACTAAGGGCCAATCTGTAGCAGAATCCTGAAGCAGCCCTCCCATCTCCCATACTGGCCTCGCTCCTACCCTTAATGACCCTCTTTGCAGACCCAAGTGTCCGGTACCTGCCTCTCCTTACACAGATGCAAAGCCCCCTTCTACCCCAGGACTCCTGAAACTTGAGTAGCTAATCTCTTTCAACTAAAAATAACACAACAAAATAAGAAATAATTAAGATAGCATGTAAAATCCAACAGGAGACTGTCTTCCCCAAGCTGTTCCCGCTTTGCAGACTAATCTTTTCTTTCTATTTCTCAACAAGTTCCATGAAAGTACAGTAAGTCCTTGACTTACGGACATTCAAGTTGTGAGCTTTCAGAGACATGGACCTCACATTATGAACATTCACAGATGCAAACAAATCAAGGAAGTATCTCACATGTCTGCTGAACATTGTAATAGTCGTGCTACTGTGTGCTTACTGTATAGCACAATGAACAGTAAGTCAGTGCTCAGTAAGAGCCCAGGACGCCTGGAAGCAAGGGGAAAAGCAGTGGCAATGTGGATGGGACTGCTAGGAAGCACAAAGCAATATGTTGTATATTTGTGTCAAAGGTGTCTAAGACTCACTTTGTCAGACTTATGAACGAATCTGATTTACAAACGTTTTCCCTGAATGGAACTCATTCCTAAGTTGGGGACTTAGGTACTCTTTTTACTATAGTCGGTAAGAAAATATGTCAAAAGACACAGCTGCCTCTTTAAGTGGAAACTGTAAAGTACACGCAGCCCTCCAGATACACAGGTTCTGCACTCATGGACTTAACCAACTGCAGATCACAAATACTTGAAGAAAAAATTGTGCCTGTACTAAACATAAGACACACTTTTTTGTCACTGCTCTCCAAATAATTTAGTACAACTATTTGCATATCATTTATAGTTATTGTATATCATAAGTAATCTAGAAATTATTTAATGTGAGAGGAGGTATGTAGGTTATGTGAAAATACTACACCATTTTATATAAGGAACTTGAACATTTTCAGATCTTGGTATCCCACAGGGGAGAAGAGGTACAAGCAGAACTAATTCCCCAGCAACAACCAAGGGACATGCGTGGCTCTTCATAGGTCACCATTCACCAAAGTGGGGCAGGGCTCAAGTCCTCTGAGCGTCTCTGGATCCATCTGACAATGCACAACTCCTGTCTGAGTGCTTTGACTTTTAACTCTTAGAAAGCAAACTATTCTTTTCTCCCCATGACTGACTTCACCTGATTTAGGGAACCACTAACCTCTGTTTTAACTTTAATAACACCTTCCTCAGTCAGGGTGCTGGTTTCTATAACAGAGAATCCTTCAGTCTGCAAGTCTATAAATATTTTCTGGGAGGACAAAGGAAAAATGAGACATATATTATTGATCTTCAGTTCCCTGTGGAACAAACTGTACTGTTCTGCAAATGGAGGATGCAAATGCTAATTTTTCAACAATTTTTTTTTTTAATCCTTGAAGAAATAACTATTTTTCCCTATATTCTTCTGCAATTAAAAAAATGCAAACATTTGAGAAAACTGAACTAGACTACAGGCAAATAAAACTTCAAGCTCTATGGAACATTCTGTAAGATTTCATATTCTAAAACACAAACTGGCAAGATAAAGATTGATTTAAAAAAAATAAAATCTTCACGCTATTTTTTTTTTCTTGGTACTGGGGCTCAAACTCAGGACCTTGGACTTGAGTCAGGCGCAGTGCCACTGAGCTAAATCCCCGGCCTAAAAATTTGTCTTCCATGGGCCAAGCAAATTCCTTAGAAAACAACAAAAGTTTACAAATCTAGCTACTTGATGAATCACCACTGAATCTAAAAAGAACTTGGTTTGAATAGTCTCCATCAAGCACCTCATTTACATCTAACTGTAAATGTGACCATGGTTCAGAGGAAGGTGACCAACCCATGGTATTGCAGCTGCCCATAAATAAGCTCTAGTCCCATTACCACGGAGTCCAAAGCAGCAGTTTCAGAGAAAACCACGGCCTAAGCACCAATTCTGCCACTCAGCAGCACATGACCCTGAGTAAGCCAGTCACAGGGCTTGGCTGTACGTGTGCTGGTGACTGTCAAGGGTCATCATTATGTGATGACTGTCACATTAAACGGCAAGCTATAGTGCCAAGCAAACAGTAATACTGTAACAGTGTCCATTATGCACTTGCAGTCTAATTTCACAAAATCTTCTCAACTGATACAGGCATTTCCTCCAGTGAATAGTTACACTTGGGCTCCAAAAGGTGCCCTCACTTCCTTAGCACCCAGTTGGCAAGTAACCAACGATGCAGGTTAACACTTCCACTGGAAGTGAGCTTGTCTAACTCTAAAGTGTGACCATCTGACAACTTGAGAAATCACTTTTAAAATCTTCCCTAGTGCTACCTACTCTCCTTTTTCACTCACCAAAGCCTTCTGCACTGAAAAACTGAAATTTAACAGATATAAGGGATTTTTCTTTTTCTTTTTTGGTACCAGGGATCGAACTCAGGTCCTTGCGCTTGTGCAGCAGATGGAGAAACCACTGAGCTAAATCCCTGGCCCGATAAGGGATTTTTCAAAAGCAAATAAATTATGACATCAATGTTCTCATAATTAATAACTTAAAGATGTACTGCTGTCCTCTGAGAAAACCAGTATGATTATTTTAAAAAACAGCTAATGTGCAGTGGCACGGCACCTGCCTCACAAGTCCAAGGTCCTGAGTTCAATCCCTGGTACAAAAACAAAAACAACTCAGCTAACCTTTACCAAGTATTAAAAGTTCAAATACAACAAGAGACACTGAATGGGAAACAACATGCTACTCCTACCTCAGAATCTTCTACTTTAATTTAGTCGATAAAGTATATTCCAGAAGGCATGTCCACACAGCATTTACCATTCTAATGAGTGGTTCTCAGAACTCAAGTGGGCATCAGTCACCTGGGAAGGCTTGTTCATCTCAGACTGCTGCCCACCCCAGGGTTTCTGACTGAGGGGCTAGGTGGGTCCAAGATATGCATTTCTGACAAGTGAGCTGGCAAAAAAGTGATGTGATGCTGCTGTTGGAGGATAAGTATGAGAACAGTGCACGTCTGAAAAAGCACTTCTCTTAAAGCTGTCTATTGCATCTGCCTGGCAAGCACAAGGTCCTGAGTCCTGAGTTCAACCCCCCAGAATGCGGGGTGGGGGGTTGGGGACTGCCTATTCAAAAGGGCCACAAGGTCAATTAATTTGAAAAATTATGCCTAACAACTGCCTGCCTTTTGAAAAACATCAGCAGGTCATGTATGCTCACAGTTCTGGAAGCTTCACCTTATAAGAGTTTATAGATCCTTATTCTCCTTCACTCAATCATTTCTGTTTCCTGAACTCACTTAATCACATAACTTCTTTTTCTTGTTGTTGTTTTTTAAGGCAAGGTCTCCCTTTGTAGTTCAGGCTGGCCCTGAACTCACTATGTAGCATAGGGTGGCCTCAAACTCGAGGCAATCATTCTGCCTCAGCCTCCTGAATGCTGTGATTACAGGCATGTGCCACCACTCCCGGCTCTCATATAACCTCTTTAATTAAGTAACACCTATGAATGAATACTCATCCTAACAAAAAGTTACTCTGGAAAATCCTGACCTGTTATACTGTACCTGATACCTTGAGGCCTATAAGAGATTAAAGCCTACCTCCAAGTGGTTGAGTCATCACATTCTAAAGGTCAACTGTGCCAACTCATCAAACACAAATGTTTCTCAGGAAACCTGTGTATTAGGTATTTATATTGTCATGTCGCTAAACCACAGATGACATTATCTTGTACTATAGAGCTGAAATTCCTCCTAAACATTGGATGTCTAAGAATTGAAAATTAGTAAACAAATATTTAAAATGTTTAGGTGATTTACCTGATCATCTTCCGCAAGTTCAGCTATTCTCTTCACATCACATTTGTTTGCTACAACTATAAGAGGCTAGCAAGGAAGAAAAGTAATTATTCCCAACTGTGGAATATAGTAATCTCCCCTTATCCATAGTTTTGCTTTCTGTAACTTCATTTACCTAAGGTCATTTGCAATCTAAAAATATTAAATAGAAAATTTCAGAAGTAATTCATAAACTGTGTACTATTCTGAGTAGTACAATGAAGTCTCATACTAACCCATGCCATCCCACCCAAGGCACGAACCACCTTTTGTCCAGTGTACTGACTCTGTATGCTACCAACCAGTCACTCACTCAAGCAATCATCTGTTACCTGTTCAACTGTTGTGGCATCACAGTGTTTGTGTTCAAGTAATACCTGTGGTTTCAGGCACGCATCAGGGGTCTTGGAATGTATTCGCCCCCACAGAGGAGGAATACTGAGCAGATTAAAATATTAGTTAGCATACTTACTTTGTTGATAAAGAGGGGTCTGATATTCTGGAAGAGCTCTAATTGTTCTTTCAATCCATGTCCACACTGCTCAGACAAATCCATCACATACAAAACTGCGGCGCGAAGGTGAGCCAGGGCTGTGATAGCTTGCATTTCAATGGTGTTCCGATCCTCTAAAGGATGATCCAAAATCCCTGGAGTATCTACAACCTAACAACCAGACTATTAATTCAAAGTACAACTTATTTACAACCTTCTTGTCCAGAAGTTATTCTCACACACTCAAACCAGACCTAACAAAACCAGTAAATAAAATGTAGGTCTCTGAAACTGACCATGAGAAAATAAAGCAGTAAAAGAGAAGTACATATTCTTTATACATTAAAAAACAAACTCAACAAAAATGGGAGCAGGGAGCCTGCAGAGCTCATTGAAAAACCAGCCAATGATCTTGAGGAAAAAATGACTCCCCTTTTCATTAGTGACATCATAAAATATAAAAGCTGGAATAACAGCAAACCCCTCCAGGTCTTAAAAATTACTTTTTTCATATATACAGTGAAACAATACACTTGTGGAAAGAGACTGTTTCATGCTTTTAAATAGTATGTGTGCCATTTCTAGGCACTCAGAAATGAAGCAAAGAGATTTCACTTCTTAGAGGCATCACTACTGAAATGAAATCAGGATTGCAGAACTCTATACTGGTAATTTCCTCTGAATTACATAAATATGAACTGCCTGTATGCATCCCCAAAGCTCAGAAGTTTTCTTTATGGTGATGGAAAAATTTTAAGTTCTTAGTGATATCAGAGAATCTATTGTCCCCACCTCCTTGGGATCCTCCCTAGAGGCTGTTCATAGTTGACTATGCACTATAAAACAATACTATGTTCTTTAGAAATCACCAAATTCCATTAACCCAAAACCTAGGTATTTGTTCTGTTTCAAGACTCACCTGCCAACGTAGATACTTATAATCCATGTGCCCAACAAACAGAGATTTGGTAGTAAATGCATACGGCTGCACATCCACATCTGCTCTTGTCACCTTGAAACAAAACAACAAAAAGTTCCGCCATCACAGGAGTTCTATACTCCGGCTCTTCTCAGGAACAATGTAGGTATGGCAACTACATGTTATAGGACTAATTTTTGGCAGGAAAACACCCCATAAGAGACTTTGTTGGATTAAACCATGCAGAACAGGAGTTACCAACTTCCTTCATGCCAACAGGCTCATGGTACAGATATCAGGGAGGCTGAGGAGGGGCAGCATTTGGAGGATGGCCACCACCTTTTCTCACTCTACCACCTGCATCACTGTCCCAGCAGTGCCCAAGAGCACTCTGATGACAGAAATGCTCAATATTTGCGCTATCTAGACAGGGCCCACCAGTGACAAGCTGCTAATGAACATTTACAATGTGGTTCACGTGACTGAAGAACCAAATTTTTCATTTTAATTAGCTTACATTATAATTTAAAAAGACACGTAGACTGTGGTCACTACATTAGCTCCCAGAGCACTGGCCAGTCAAAGTAGGTTTCAGACATGCTGACAAGACATTGAAACTTCAGCTAAAACCCTGAAGAGTTTTGCCTGTCACCATATCAGGGCACTTTTTGGACAAAGTAAAACCTAATAAACCTGTTTCAAAGCCTAAGTGTTCCTGGCAGTAAATTATAAGCCCTAAGAGAATTAACAATTTTTATTTCCAGCACCTGGATGTTGCTAGTCATAAAATGATTATTTTAAATGCTCTTTCTACTCTTTTCAGATCCTTCAAGGTCAGACAAGTATCAAACTACTAAGTTACTCAAATGTTACACTTAATAAATTCACTCAAGAGAGACTCAGCAACTCACCACTACAGTGGACACAATTTCAGCAAAAGGTGACCCAACAACCAAGGTGACAAACCACCCAAGAAGTAAATCCAGACTGAGAGACTCTAGCTCAGTGAGTACTGTCTGCCAGAGGAAGTCACCTGGCAGAGAAAGCCCCCTGGCATGACCATTTCCAGAATAAGCTGACACAATACACCCAGGTAAAGCTCTCCATCTGTGAACAAAAATGTACTTAAATATCTCAAATTCTTTACAAATTATAGGGTGCACAAAAGAATTAAAAGTGATGGATTCTGCAACACCAATATAATCTAGATGCAGATGAGTTAAGGCTCCCCGACAGGAACTTGAGTATGCTCATCTGTCAAGTCCTCTTGAAGACTAGGGTAATGTTTCCTAAAGGAGTCAGTTAATATTACCAATGCATCCTAAGTCCCACAAAGTCAGAAAATAATAGTACTTTAACCTAAGATAGATCATCTGATTTACAGTAATAAACAGACCTACCTTGTTGATGAAGCTGGATTTCCCAACATTTGGGTACCCACACAAAAGCAGAGTCCTTGTATTTGGATCAATGGTTGGCAAGCGGGACAAATGCTGACGCACTATGAAAAGTTTAAATTAATTAAAAAAATTATCAAACTCAAAATTTAAGATCTTCTTGAAATAGATAATCCTCATTATTTGAACAACAGTGTATTTTGAGGCCTGCATGCTGCAATCTTCTTGCTACAACACAGGCTATGTGCATTAACTGCCTCATTTGTAACACTACATAGCCCCAAGTGGCACCCATGGACAGGGCTGTATCGAAGATCCAACAGATCTGTAGGAAAGCATATTCACGGCACCCATGTGCATAAATCTTATTCGAAAAATTTATAAGGTACAGGGAGAACGAAAATAAAACCAAACAAGTCAAAATTATTTGTGGTATAAAAATGCATACAAAAAGGCGAATAATTTTCTTTCAAACTCTACTACATTAAATCAGAAATGGTCCTATTAAATCAAAGCATTTTTAAAGAATGAATATGTCAATAGGTAAAGCTATGAATCATTTTATTTTTTTACATTTTTCAGCATTTTCCCAAGATTCATGTCTATGTCTTACCTATCTAATGTTAAAAACATACATATTCTGAGTAGTCCCGTTAGTTTGTAAGTATTATAATCGCTAGATATTCTCTCCAATAATAACTAGTCTATTAGAAATTCTTATAGGTTAGGCTAGAAAAAATTTCATCCCACAATCTCTAAAATAAAAAAAACTGAAGAATAATTTCTCAACAAGGATCCATTATCTAACAGAACACATTAAACACCATTTCTGCTAATGTGTAACAATTACCTTGTTCCAAATACTCCAAACTCTGCTTCTGTCTCTTGATAATAGTGCACATGCGCCCAAGGGCAGCCCGCTTCAGCTGCTTGCAGCGGTAGAGAGAATCGCCATATTTCATTAGCCGCACATAATCTTTAGCAACGCTTCAAAAAATAAAAAATATGTAAGTTTTTTTCCCACTATTGACACTAACTTAAAGCATATTATAGTAAGAAAATACCTTACTTGTCCACTAAATTTTTGGCAATATTTATTTGTCCTAGAGCCAACTTGTAATGATCCTTATCATAGAGAATATTCATCAGATCAGCATAAAATGGATGGATATCCTATAACAGATAAAAAATGTACAGCAGTCATCTAGTCCAACAGTTATTTATCTTTGCATATAAATAACACATGGAGAAATTAGTTCCTTTTCTTCTCTCTTCAAACCTGCAGCTTCTTCTACCCAGTTTCCTCTCTGGACAATGACCCTGTTGAGTTAGCCCTCTAAGGAAACAACAATAGGCAGAGGGCAGCAAAAGTGCCTTCTATTTGTCCTAACTCCCATCCCACTGCGGTGACAGAGCTATCTGGGGACGTAGCCAAGGCCAGCCCTTTCCATATATGATATCCCACCCTCTCCTACTCAGGAACACCGTTCCAGAAATTCTTTCCTCCACATGACCATTTCCATCAAGCTGCAAACATTACTTCTCAGGTATTAAAAAAAAAAAATTTAAACTCCCTTGACCCCACCATCCTTCCACCTCTTACCCCCTTTCTTTGCCCCCCTCCCAAACTCTGTGAGCTCATGAAGCTCATCAATAACTTCCCAACTGCCAATCCTGATTTCTTCTATACCTCTTAGCAGCACCGGGTAGCTGGCTACTCATCCTACTTGAAGCATTTTCGGCTTCCTCTACAACAGCCACTTCAAACTGTGCTGGCTCGTTGTCACAGCCCAACTCCACACATTCAAGCCCCCAGCACGCTCTTCTTCCTAGGCTCACTCCAAGATCATATGATCTCAAGGAGATTTTAAATATCATCCACACTTTAAAATTCTGTTTCTACATCTCCAGGGCAGACCTCTCATGAGCTTTGCCATTTCTACTTAAGAGTCTCACACACATATCACAGTAGTATATACAGACTGGATCCTTGCCCTCCCTCCTTGTCACACCTACTCCTCTCACCTTTCCCTCAACACTGTATTCTTGTCTGTGAGTTCTTCTAATGATGCTGAAGCCAATCACTGCTTAACATCCTCACCGCTATCACAGTTGTCTAAGTCACTGTGCTCTTTCTCAATTACTGCACTGACCTCCAAATGGTCTCTTACCTTCCCCTACCCCCATAGGCCAGGCATCTAGCCTAAGTTTTTACTTTATATTTTAAATACTTTTATATTTTTTAAAGCCATTATTACTTTTTTTTTAATATAAAAGAATTGTATATAAATCAACCTTTTCTTTCTACCTCATCTACCTTCAGGGACCATTTTGGGGCAATGGCCAATTTAGGCTCTAGGACTATATCAGTTTCCATATCCTTCACAACTTTAACCTCACCACTGTGTGAGACACTTGCAAGACTTTGTTTACAGGCTCTGCCAAGCAATTTCACTTTCATGTCTCTATAGCTAAACAAACAAGCAAAGTGCAATATGCTGCAGAGCAAGGTATTCGGCTTTTTGGCTTAACACAAGTGTCACACCTCTCAATGCTATCTTCCCAGTGAAGAAAACTGTCAATACTGCTGATAAAGCAGTAAGATCACTAACAGTAGTGGAGCTTGGGCCAGTGGCCCTAGTTGAGCCCAGAGGAAAAGATACCTCAGAAAAAGGGAGGAACAAAGTCTAGAGGAGCTGGTGAGGCATGCAAGACTCCTGGGCTTCAGAGTTCATAATTCACAGTTTTCATCTAGTTTGGATTGGTCCCTGAAGCCTAAAACTTACAAAGAAAGCCTGGAAAGATAGTTCAGGACTCTTTAGATGGGGTTTGGTTGGAGCAAATGAAGACTAGCAAGGATTCAAAAATTCAGATTCTGTTCCCAGCTTTGATACTCAGTGAGTTAACTCTGACAAATAAAAAATGTTTCTTCTGTCAAATGAGTACAGCAAACTGGCTAAACACTGATTCTCCAAAGGCTCACATTTATATAACTATCCACGTCCTCCAGAGTCACTTACATCCAATTTGGGAAAATCTGTTAGAATCTGTGAGAGTCTGTCATGGTAATTCTGCTGGGTAAATTTGACTTTTCTCATGTAAAAATGTCTAATGCGATGAATTTGATAGTGTTTATGAATAACCGTTGGAGTCTTTCGTTGGGTCTTTGACAATGTCAGGTCAATAAAGTCCTGCAATAAAAGAAAATAAAACAAATTCAAACATCTATTTTTCACCCATTTGTTTGAAAGCTTCTTAAAAACAACATCTAACAGTACTACATATTTTAAACTATAAACATTTACTTTTTCTAACCCAATCTTTTATATACAACTTTGTTCATCTTTATGGCCTTTAAGAAACTCCAAATGGCTGCTGAAATAAATTTTTTTTTTTGGTACTGGAGATTGAACTCAGGACCCTGCATTTGCAAGGCAGGCACGGTGCCACTGAGCTAAATCCCTGGCCCTGCTGAAATAAATTTTACTCCATGGTTTCTTGATGTTACTTTAACTTCTGAATACCTAAGAATATTTGAAGCTTTAAACAATTCAAGCATAAATCAGAAAAAATATTGAAAAGAAACAATCTTTCAATTTCAACATGTAAAGCTTTAACTTTAAACATATACAAAAAAGTAAGTAGAAAACTCATTGTTTATAATTTCCTATATATGTAAGGTGACTGTTTGATATAAAAGATAACCGCATAAATGAACAGTGCAGTAGCCCCATCCTTTTATCCCCATGTTTTTCATTTCCATGTACCAAGCCATACACAATTACTTGATTTTCCCTTGAATATAGATTAATTCAACAATACCGACCATTTCTTACAAAGGATAATAGGAATATAATGACCGTTTACATTTTGTCAAAGAGCTCAGAATCCAATGACAGAGAAAGTAACAGATGATCACAATACAGATCAAGTATTAGGAAGAGCAAAAAGGTTCATACCTCTGACTACACAAGATCTCCTTTACTCACCTCCAGTCTTTTCATTTGCATAGTTAAAAGGTCCATTCAAGTTACCTACTTCATAAAGTTTCCCGTAACTCTCTCATTCACCAATCATCTAGTCTCCCAAGTTCATGTACCATCATTCCTTGGTATTTGCGTAGGACTGGATCCAGGACCCCCTCCTCAACAAAACCAAAATCTAAGGATGCTCCAGTTCCTTACATAAAATGGCACAGTACTGTGTAGAACCTACACATACTCTCTCTCATACACTTTAAATCATGTGTAGATTACTTGTAACACCTAATACAATGTAAATGTTATTATAGTTCCTATACTGTATGCTTAGATTAATAAGAATAAAAAATATACATGTGCAATACAAACACAATTTTTTTCTTACAAACACAATTTTTTAAAAAGTATTTTTGATCTGCTGTTGGTTGAATCCACGGATATGGAATCCACAGCTAAGAGAAGGTCAACTGTATATACTCCCATTATAACAATTTTCATATTTCTAGCGTGGATATAAGTGCTTCTACTTATTCTAGGAAATGACTTCCAAAAAGGTGGGTACTTTATCTTATGCAATACTGTGAGTACAAAACTATACAAGATAAAGTACTACTTTCTGGCCCAATTTCAGTCCCCTACCCCAGGCTTCAAAGCTTCCAAGCTCCCTCTCAGGGGAGGGCTAAGGTCTCTCTACTCCAAACCCCTGATATGCTGCTATTTGTCATATTAATAAATCTTTCTGCCTCTATCAGTAATCTTGGGGTCTTAAATCAACTGAACATTTGGTGCCAAAACCCAGGAGGTCTTTGTGAGGCAAATGATCCATAAGGCTGCCCTGGCCATTGCTGTCCTTCCACAGAACACCAGCCATCCTCTCTGATCCAGGCAGTCATCTTCTAGGAGTCTCTAGGTCTTCCGCCTGTCCGTTGTTCAAAAATCCTAGCATCAGATCTTGGTCCTTCCCAACCTGGGGAACTGTCCTTTTGGCCTGGACCTTCAAGATACACAAGACACCAGTGCCCTGCTCTTGGCCATCGTTATTGTGCAACTACTCAGACACAGAGATGCCTGTCTTTCTGTTGTTTTCTCTTCGGTCTGCCTAGAAGTCTCAACCCACTCCACTATGGGCAACTCCAACACCATCAGATAGTGTATTTTCCAGATGTAATTTTTTTTAAACTTCCAATCACCAAAAGATTACTGTCACCTATCTTTTAGACAAACTCACCTGTTCTGCAGAAAAAAAAACCCCATTCAAGACAACAAAAAATAAACGCTGCACTAATATAAAACAGTAACTGTACAAAGTCCTTCAACAAACTTGAGGGATGGTTGAGAAAACATAATGAGGTCAAAAATATAACTAAGATATGATTTCTATAAATGACTTCCTTGCAAATACTACAATGTAGTGAGAAACCTGCCAGAATGATTGTCAGAACAGGACGTGAGAAAAGACTGAGAGAAATGATAAAACAATTCTGTATATTAGGAATGTAAAATACTAGTTCTTGACAAAGCTTTCTAACACAAGCTAATTTCATGGTTGAGACTTTAAGAAGTAATTGAAAGAAGACACTGAAAATATTCACACTGGGCAAGTTAGGTAAAGACGGCAATTTCTCCTCTGACCTGGTTCTTCCGTTCTGGATTTGCCAGGATTGTTCTGGATTTCTCCCAGGATTTCCCTGAGAAACACGTTTCCCATAAGTGTTTTCACCTATCAATTGCAACACACCCTTCCGGAAAGATCTCCACATAAAAAACTGACTCACTAACAATCCCCACACTCAACATATTTTGCAGTCTCTTGCTACACCGAATAACACTATATTAACTTGACCTGGTCATGTTTATCCTGGTATGTCTAAAAACAGCTAGGTTTCCCAAATCCAACAGTTAAAGGGAACGTCTTCAAAAATTAAAAAATGTTAAGCCACGACAGCAACAAGCCAAGACTTCCAGAGAAACTACACTGAACTCAGAATCCCAATGCCGGGGCCTCGGCTCATCAACGACCACGGCAGGCTTCCTCTCTCGCACCTCAGGATCGCCACCGCCCACCTATCCACCTCGTCCCCTCGGCGGGCCCTAAGGGCGCATTTATTCTCGAGGGGCCCTTTGGTCTCGAAGGGTCCCTGGTCTCTGGGGTAGGAGACTTGCTTTCCAATGGTGGGGCTGGTCCCTGGGGGTCCCTAATCACTACAGGACGCTGTCTAGGAAGGGAGGCCCGGCAATGCGGGACTGGTGTCCCTCTCTACCAACCCCAGGGTTACAGGCCTGGGCGCTCCCAGGCGAAAAGAGCGATAGGTGGTAAGGGGGAGAGGCGGTGAGGCCCATCCGAAGACCCCTACCTTGGCAGACGGTACCACCGTGATCTTCTTAAAGTTATAGTGCGCCATGCCGACAGTGGGCAGCACGAGGAGCCGCGACACGCTGATCTGGCCTTCAGCTGGCAGGAGTAGGCGGGACTTCTGCTACCAGGCGCCTACTTCACTGGTCCCCGGCGGGCCCGAGAAGCGTCACTTCCGGGACCGCCGCAAGGCGCGGCCAGCGACGCTCACCCTGACTGCCTAGTCGCCCAGCGCCATCTCGCGGTGCGGATGTCGGCTACGGAAGACTGTGGGTCCAGTTGAACTGGACGCGTAGGGAGAGAGGACTGCCAGGTTTGAGGGGATGGGGAGGTTAAGTCTTCCCCAGGTAAAAGAGGGGCTGCGGACACCCACTCTGACCCCGGAGTCCCACCTGAGTCCGCAAGGTCCTAGTGGCCCGAGTGGCGCGACGTTCAGGACGAGTCACGTAGAATAGGAGGAAGCCGCGGCGCTGGGCTCTGGTGTCCCCGGTCTCTCAGCGCGAGCTGCGGTCTGGATATGTAGAAAACAATGCAATGCTAAATAATGTTAACGCGGAGTTCGTCCCTCGAGGGAAGAGACTGCCTGCCCTCCAGGTCTCCCAGTCTTCCTCTCCTGAACCTTTCTTCCCTACGACCATCTGGCAGGTATGCAGCCTGCACCACCGCCCAGGCCTCACAGCTGCACGGAACAAGCCCAGGCCAGGACACAGGTGCCAAGTACCTGGCCACGAAGGACCCACAATGAGTTGAGCGCCTGCTCTTTGCTCTTCCTGGCCTTCCTCCTGTGAATTTAATATGACCTTATTTTCTTCCTGTCCATACCATCTGATTTCATCATTCCATACTGAGGCAGAGGTGTCAGCCCTTCTAACATACTCTAATTTTTATGACCTTTTCTCAGCACCTCTTTCCTTTTGAGACAGCTAGGCTATCCCTCGGACCAGTGGGGTTAACAGACATACCAGAAAATTGGGAGTTAAAAAGTGGAGTCTTCAAGGTTATAAAATTAAGAAAACACACCAGGAGATGGGAGGATGAGAAGTCAGCTCAGCCTTCAAAGCGTATATAACCAGCGGAGATAGTAAAAAGGCAGAGCAAAAAAACCCAAGAAAACCCCCACCAAGGTCATTAAAATTAAGGTAACAGGCAGGGGAGTGATCTGCCCTGCTCCAAAACCCATTAGTAACTTTCCCAAATGATGAGGGGCAAATTCCAGATTCCAGGTGATGAGGACTGAACCAAAGTAACCTGTAGTTACCTTTACTTTATTAGCATAGTGAAAACCACATCCCAGGGTAGAGACTGAAGATAGTAATGAGACACACATTCCAGGGGGAGCCACAATAAAGTTGATCACAGGCGCAACTAAAACTCCACTACTACATGTAATGACATCAAGAAACCAGATTCTTGCCTACCCTGTAGATGCTATAAAAGCTGTACACCTTTGTCATTTGTTTGGTAGAGCATGGGATTTCTGACCCCCTTGGGCTTTCCCCTTTGTGGTCAAGCATAAGAATAGAAAGCCTTGTGCCAAGGTGCTTCTGTCTTCTTATTCTGTTAGCATAGGAATTCAGGGAGTCAGTAACATCATCCATCTCCTTCAAACCCTCCTTTACTCCCGTGACATCTATTATTTTTGTTTCTTCTCTTAAAGTCTAGAATTTAATCTTCCTCACTAACTTAATGTCTTGCTGCCTCTCCCTGTCCGTATTTTCAAGATTTTTTTTTCTTCCCTCAGGGAAAGAAACTTCATGCCCTCCAGGCCTTCTGGGCTTCCTCTCCTGAACCTTTCCTCTCCCTCTCCAGTCTGTCATTCCAAATGGTGGCTTCACAAATAGCCTCCATATGCCTGACTCTTCCAGCTTGATTTCCTCTCTCACTTCTAACACTTTCAATCAATTGTGTAATTCTTACATGTATGATTCCAGATATGTCAAACTCCACATATCTGAAAATCAAAACCCATTATCTTTTCCTTTTTATAAGTAAACCCACTCCTATTGTGCTGTTTGAGGCCACACCCTGACTCCCACTGAGAGGCTAGAAGAGGACTGGGCACAGAGCCAAAAGCAGGGCTGACCATTTTCTGCAAACTCTGCACGGTTATCCAGTTACCAGGACTCAGTGTATGCCTTGTGACAGAGAAAAGCAAACCTTAGCTATAGTGAAGGACACTCTCCCAGGTACTCTGCCAAGCTTGTGCTTGCCAAAGGCGTCATAGTAACAAGCCTTATTTTTCAGACTTATTTTATGGGGTTGAGCTCCTCTGTCTTACTTTTTTGTTGCTCTAAATCTGACTGATGAAAAATACACCTTGCAGTGGATTCTGTGCCAGGGAAATGTGACTAAACCCTTGACTAAAATGAGCCATTGTATGAGGATTAGCCATAGGTTGCTGTCTGGTCTTAGATGGTGTTATGGGTGCTGCAGGGTGTCTGTGGGTCATTTTCCTGGATCTCCTTAGAAACTGTGCTGTGGCCAACTCATTTAGCATGACCACATGATGTTTTGTAATATGTAGGTATTCCCCTGTGTATATCTCATTTCCAAAGAAATGCCAACAGTTCATGAGGAGAGACTATGCCACTTTTGCTATTTCTTCCAGCAAGCCACATTGTCCTCAGTATTCACAATAACTGTGAAACTCCATTGATCAAAAGTTGGATTGGGCCCGGGTACCAAAAAAAAAAGTTGGATTGATGGGGCTGGAGATTTAGCTCAGTGGTTCCCACCGCCTGCCTCGCAAGTCCAAGGTCCTGAGTTCAGTCCCTGGTACCAAAAAAAAAAAGTTGGATTGATGAAATTTCTGATGCAACTACGGTTGGAACAATTGGAATCTGTGGCAGTACATCTTACTGAGTTTTAAATACTGTTGAATCCCTGTGCACAGCCCTGAAATAGATCAGAAGTCCAAACTGCACCACAAGGTAAAAAACACACCAGTCTTCCAGGCTTATTACAGCTTATTGGGGTCTGCTCCAATACAGAGGTCTCCAGCCTGGACCAATCAGATTCCCACCCCCTGAAGTGTCCAGAGATGCTGAGGTCTTCAGGTTCTGAGGCTGCATATCTTGCATCCTAAAATGAACCTGCAGTCAGTAAACCCACAGCCAGTCCTACACATTCAGTGTTGAAATAAACACTGCAGCAGATGAGTCCTCCAAGCAGTCAGGTGAGACATTAGCCTATAGATTTGTATACCCAGCCTTCAACTTTTTCTTTTTTTATTTTTTTAGACAGGGTCTCACTAAGTGACTAATTTGCCTGAGCTAGACTGAAACTCATGATCCTCTTGTCTCAGCCTCCTAGAGTGCTGGGATTATAGCCATATACCTTTCATTCCTGCCTGCTTCTCACTTTTGATCCATAGCCTCCTGTCATAAAATGATTCCTCAACTCCTACATGAGGGGGCATGAGGTGATTCCACACAATGTCTGCATATGCGTGCTTTTCAGTGTCACAGTCATTGATCATGAAGAAAATTCACTAATGGATAAAGAGGTAAAAGGTTTATTCATCATTTTCCTTTAATATGATACTGAAAATTCAAGCAAAGGGGAATTCACCTCAGCAGCATGCCTTAGCAAATGGATTTGGTATGTGTAAACAATAAATGTGTACAATGTCTCAATGCAGCTCTGTTGGATCTTAAGTATAGCTATAGAACAGATGTTATCTTAATGTCACAGAGGTACACACAAACCCAACAAGGAAGTCATAGAATGCTGTGGAAGATGATGACATTAGAGCCACCCTCAGAAGTAGCTATCCAAGAGTCTCTTCAGAATTACATAATGTTTTTAAAGTGTGGTCTCTGTTTTTTGAGATTTTGCCCTAGCTCACATGGAACTTCAATTTCACTAAGCCTCTATTTCTTCAGCTATAGATTGGAACTAAATAATAATGTTAATAGACTAGGGTTAGTCTGAAGCTAAAATAATGTGAAATATTTGTTACAAGTCTGGTACATAGTGTGCAAAAAGATTCTGTAGTATGTTATTAGGTATTGTGTAGGTTCTTGTTAATGGTTAATTACAATAATATTCCCTAAATCTTTATTCTGTTCATTAAATTCTCATTGAAGCTTAATAATTGCAATACAATAAATCTCTACTACGTGGCAGGTAACTATTTTGTTTCTCACAATAGTTCAGTGAGGTAGGCATAAATGTCTGAGAGAGAGAGAGAGAGAGAGAGAGAGAGAGACTGGAAATTGAACTCAGGGCCCTGTGTATACTAGGCAAACACTGTACCACTGAGCTACACCATCATCCCTGATTGCCTCTATTTTACAAATGAGAATGCTGGTTTCAGAGTGACTGAATGGCTTACAGAGTGTCACACAACTAGCTGGAGAGTGAAATCCAGAACCATTGAATTCCAAAGCTGCTTTTTTTCTGTTGTGTTACCTTTCATGAGTGACTTTGTTCTTGATGTCTTTTGAGTTACTACCTTTTTTGGTATTAAATGTGGTGTATGATGAATTGTATTTGAGGTCATATGTGTAAGTAACACCACTGCATAGCTGTTTCACTAAACATCTGTATGCATTCACTGGTAAGGTTTCTGTCATTAGACCATGACATGCAGGTAGAATATGTAGCTCTGCCGAAGAACATCTGCCCTTGCTCATACCAACAGCTGTTGATAAAGGGATGTTTCCATGTGTTAATTACACTACCAATATATGAATTATTATACACAGTTAAAAACAGACCATCTTGCAACTTTGTAAAGGACCTTTATGTTCAAGAAAATCTTGCAGAACACTTGTGATGATAAAATCTTTGAAATCTGTGTACTTACGTTTGAATGATGAATTTCCAAGTCATTCTGAATATCTACAGACAGGATTTCTTAAGATTAGCATCCTGTGCCATACCCAAGAAGAGCTTCAAGATAAGCAAAGATGAATTTCATGTTGCAACAGACATCTTAATTCTTAGTATTTATGAAAGCTGGCTAATTTTACTGTCTACCCCCCAGGATAAAAACAGCAAAAAAATTTATTTTGATGATGTGATATTATTTTCACAAATTTAAAAATTGATTATGAAGTTCTGCATGAGGAAAGTGTGATGTTCTAGCAATTTAGCTTCCAAGGGAGAGAAAAAGGCTTAAAGTTTTAATCCCAGCTCCCAAAGACCCACCTCTTCTGACCAGACTTCTAAGAGGAATTCAGCTATGCTGCCC